CTGAGGAACAGAGCAGGCTAAACATTCCCCCATCCACACATATTTTTCAGGTATAAACGCAAACAGTGCATCCTGTCGTCTGCAGACAAAAGACACGAAAACAAATAGGACGTTTGTGGAGAGAAGTAATAAGTAACTCACAGAAAGCTTCCCCACCAGCACACTTATACTGCTTAGCTATGCAGTGATTTATTGTGTTGCGAGAAAGTAAAAAAAGCCACAAAATAACAGTCCTTCAACAATTCCGTTTATAAAACACATTAAATTGTCCATCTCAATTGCAGATGTGCTTTCGATTTCAACATACTAATTCAGGTAGGGTTTTAATATCGATTGGCATGCGACGTAACCTCAATATGGTGTAGTCCCTTCAGGATGCCGATGTTCTCTTGACACCAGCAAAACTCGAAGCCTGTACAAAACCGGCTACTTAAGTAGTATAAGTTTTTCTCGCTGATTTTTACAGCCAAAAATATTATATAGAAAAAATATGCAAAAACAATATTCAGTGTACTCTTTTGGTAGAACATTATATCTTTATCACACTCAATGCTTAAAACAATAACACTTTACGGTTTGAAGAATTCTAATTGAGAGTTTTTATGACCATTAAATGTGTGTACGTAAAGCAACTTATCACTCAATGTTGCCATAGTGTTAAGTAGTTATGCAGCTTGGTACACATCCCCGGCAAAATGTTATGCGAACGGAATGACTTCTCCATCACAATGTGAAGGAATGTTTACTGGTATTTTGGAGATCTTGAATTCAAAGGTAACGACCGGCAGCTTTCAAAATTATTTTGCTATTGAAAAACTTTTATAAAATCGGAAAATAACCTTTCTTTATGTATAATACTTAAAGAATGCGTACTTTGCTACTAAATGATTGTAAGAAAGAATAGGCTTGTGCATCTATTCTATAAAATGTATTTAAAGTTCTTCGGGCAGTGGAAATCCAAAATAAAATGAATACTACTTAAGTTGCCATTTTTACAGAGTAAACTGCTTGCTAGTCGTCAAGAGGTAGCTCTTCCAAAAGCAGGTATCCTGTAGTGACTGAATCATGCTAAGATCGTGTTGCATGTTAATCAATATTAC